CTCTATCTATCTTTATATCTCTTTCTATTTCTGTCGAAATGTCCCGCGATTTGTAGCGCCACCCAGAGTCATATGCGTCGATGTTGTAGAATATAGATTTTTTCGATGAGGACGGAGGAAGAAGTGAAACGTGTAAACGAACGGGCAGAACGAAAATCGAGAGAAACAACCTATAACCATGTTATCGAGTCTCAAAACATTACTGGCTATTTCAAAAGGTATATATATATATATATTAAACTTTAGAAAATGAAAATTTATTAGCGATTCTGTACAATTATTTCTCATTTACAAGTGTTTAAAAGAAACGAAATAAAAAGTGAGATTTTTTCTTAAAGCGATCATAATATTGTGTTTCACAAACCGTGACAAATATTTTTATTGGTTTTAATTAGGACTGTTCCGAGGATACATTGTTGGTAACATGAGCAGAAAAATTCAATGAGGAACCTCGTTCAAATATGTGCTAAAATGTGCAATATAATCAGTGACCATGTAGTCATCTGTAAAGTTTGCAACCTTTTTACAAATTTTGTCAAGATGAATACACTGATTAAATTTTTAGTACATTTCTTATTGTAAATTTTACGCAATCAATTGTAATTTTTGGAACTGAAAAAATGAGGTATTAAGAAAATCAGATATTTTCAAGTTTGAAAATTTCAAAATTTCAAAATTGAAAGATTGAAGAATTCAAAAATTCAAAAGTTCAAAAATTCAAAAATTCAAAAGTTCAAAAATTCCAAAATTCAAAAGTTCAAAAATTCAAAGATTCAAAAATTCAAAAGTTCGAAAATTCAAAAGTTCAAAAATTTTAAAATTCAAAAATTGAAGAATTGAAAAATGGAAAAGTTGAAAAATTGAAGAAGAGAATTAATAACATTCCAATATTGTACACTTCAAAACAATGACGTCATCCACCAACAAGAAAAATCACCAAATCTCCAAACTAATTCCCCACATTTTAGCCAATATTTTCAAACTGTAAGGTAATCAACCTTAACACCTTGAATTTCTCTGCCCACAAACTTTCCAGCAACGTCTCCTGAAGAGTCCACTCCTACCGATTAATTTCGAACATTCCACGCGTTAAAAAGCGAATAAAAAAACGAAGAGTGCAACCGTAGTTCGGCTACCCATCGAACCTCGTCCGATTATATCGACAAGCAATACAAAATAGCCTCATTGGCGCGTACAACTCAATCAAGATGGCGCACGTTCCGGGAACAAGAGCAGTTTTGCGATGACTTATTAGGACGGTTATATACATGTATATACACGTATGATATGTATACATACCGAGTTAAGTTGCCACGCATCCTTCATCTTTTTATATATACATATATACACACACAGACGGCAATGCAACCGAATATGCACACAGCGGAACACACACATACACGTACATACACGCGACCATGAACTAATTAAATATACGTGTAATATACGGTATTAATTATAATACATACATATATTAACCGGATGTTCGATTCAACGGAAGCTTTTCCCAACGGTTCCGGCGACATTTTTGAAAGTATCTTTTCTCTCACAACAGGGAAAGGTTCCTGTCGTTGAACGAATCCGATCGAATTTACGATTCGTTGCACGGAAAAGAATGATCCGATCGTTCTTCGTGATTTTGCACGATGCGTCGTGCCCTACCTTGAAAGTTTCACCGACAAAATTTCTGCGGATTACACGGATACGTTGCGACCACGAATTCGATCGATCGTTTACCGAAATCATTCGCGGTATCAATCAATCTTTGACAATTCTGTGGGTCAGCTTCCGGTCGCCGAAATAGCCTTTCGCCAAAGATTTTTAATACGTTTTCGACGGTTTTGATTCATTGATGCATCTATGTTACTTAGGTTTTAACGACGGTAACGTGGGTTCGAAATTTTTAGGTCATATTGAATATAATTGGAGTAAATGGTGTAATTGGAGATTCATGTGATATTAAGTTAATTTAAGTTTTATTGTTATAAAATATTTGAGTGAAGTTTGAGGGACTCTCGTTATATTGCCGGCTTGTCAAGATTGTTGGAATGGACTGATTTTGAAAATTTCTAAATTTCTACATTTTTGGGTTTGAGAAGTTAAACACAAGGAAATTTGAAATTTTAGTATTTCTGAATTTTCAACCTTCCAAACCTGTGAAAAGCTATATTTCTAAATTCCCATATTCCAAAATTTCAGAAAGTTCAAACTTGTTTATTAAAATATCCTAAAATTTCCAAATTTTCAATCTCCTAAATTCCCAAAGATCCAAAGTTTCAAATTTCGAAATATGGCAATATACCGCGTGGTGATGTACCCATCCAGAGTAATGCTATTCACAGAAAAGATAATTCGTCTCCTTAAGTCAAATACATGCAACAGTAAATGCGTAAAGTGGCAATATAACGAGAGTGAGCCACAGTAAATGTAAAAACTCCAAAATGAAATTGAAGAGTACGATCGTTCGAATTCGTCGAAGAATAAACCACTTTTATGTACCTGTTACGACTGATTATTGCGCCGTGAATATATACATATACATATAAATATATTTATTTATGGTGTGTGCGTGTGTGTATATATCTATATACCATACAGTCACCATTATTCTGTAATTATCGTTAAATGTCATTGACTGCTTGCTACCCACGATTTGTCATCCACTTGTACTCTTACTGTATCGGTAATCGTATGTACATATCGAGTTAATTAAAAATGGGGAAGAAAAAGAGTGGATGGAAAAAGCATCCCGGTGATTAGTATGACGCTAATGAGCAAGCATTAGGAATTCATTATTCGGCCGGCGCATCGTGGATCTTATCCTTTTTTTTTATTTTATTTGCCACGCGTGCTGCATGAAATTGCCTTTCGTGAACGAAGGGATTAGGTTAGGATTAGAAAATGAAGTGGAAAATGGGTGAAATGGGTGAATCGCGAAGAATGTATCGTTAACGGAGGTTTGTCGCGATTTTAACCAATTTTTCCAGGGAAATCGTAGCCTTAGACTTCGTTTCTCTTCGAGTTTTATGCGATGGCCGCTCGACGGATTTGTCGCGCTCGAAAGTGGCTTCTTGAACGATAGACAGAGGAAACGAACACAGATAACGTGATTATCGAATCACTGAAATAACATTTCAAAGTTTAATTTTAGAATTTTCTTCGTTTAGCCTTCGATTCTTTTTTTAACTCTTCGTTGTATCTTTTTAAAAATTCTCAAAAAATGATTTTAATAAAAGATAAGAGTAAGTAAGGTTTTATTTAAAATATTCTTACCGAGGGAAATTTTATAATATAATAAATTTGCAGCATTTTAAGAAAATATAAACAAATTATAATTGTGAAAATTAACAGCACAAGACTGTGTATTGAAAGCACTTATTTTATATATTTTTAACAGAACGAAGGGTGAAATATTGTTCGTCAGAAAATCTTTAGTTGAAAGAACTTTTGTTATCAAATTTGAACAGAGAGATTTTTGTAATAATTTATTATTAATTGCTAATAGAGAAAGGGTTAATAGATGAATAAATGAGGAGTAATTAATTTTAATAGAGTCTGAAATTGGAAGTTTGTACAAGATCCGTCGAGCGTGCACGACACACTGCATGAACCGTAATCGAACTTATATTTGCGGCATTCGAAGAATGGCATTCAACGATAAAACTGTACATACGCACGTTTACTATTATCTATTTACTATTACGAGAAAAATCTTACTTCTAAGATCTTCGACTGTACGACTTTAAATGAAAAAAACGTATAAGAAACGAGAATTATTCCGAAGGAGGAAACAAGCAGAAAAAGCGAGAAAATGCATACATTGTTTAGCGCCATTGTGAACTCTATCCCTTCTTACGAGATAAGCATAATTATATTTGTTTATATATACATATACATGACAAACGTATAGAAACATTGCAACTATCATTATTATTATATTATTGTAATTATTATTATTACCGTTGCGATTATTATTATTATTATCATTATTATTACGAATATGGCCGTCATTATTATTGTTATAATTATTACCAGTGAAAACGATGAAGGTACGACGGATAATTGCTAAAAATTAAAATGAAGATCTTACTTATACATAATTATAAATACGTCATGATGACATATTCATAACAATTAATTACTACGATAACGTAATGACATTATTATTATTACTATTATAAATAACACCCTATTCCCATTTGTTGTGAATGTTTACGTTGTTTTATGATATTCAGAATATTCTAAAAATAAAGTCTATAATTTCCACGAATCACTGCCTTCTCCTTGTACCTGCGATTCGATATAAATTTACATTTTAGCAATTTTTTGCTGCGATACAAATGAATGCTGATTACAGTGCCGTAACTCTCGTTTCTGCACGAGGGAAATATGTGAACCTGAATGTCTTGAAACATAAAGAAATTTGGAAATTTCTAAGATTTTATAATTATAGATATAGATTTTAGAATTAGAAAATTATTATAGATTTTAGAATTAGAAAATATAGATTTTAGAATTAGAAAATTATTATATCCTAAAATTAGAAATCCGAAAATCTAAAATCAGAGGTTTGGAAATTTTTCCATTTGGAAGTTTGATAATTTACAAAATTCGACACGTATGGCTACTTAGTGCAAGGTCCTCCTCCCTCACATTTTAAATTTCGTGCAAACGTATTTACAACAATCACACCATTTATGTAATAAAATTCTTATGTTAATTTCTATAAGAATGCAATGAGCAAATCACCATATTTATTTTTGATCGAACTAAATTTAGATGTTTCGTTTATTAATATTCATCAACTTTCGAAACGAGTTGTTTTGAAGAGCAGAATTCAAGAGGAGATACAGATAATTTTATGGAAAGATTATAACGAGAAGTATTTTACAAAATTATTTTGTTTTATTTTTAAGTACGGTTCCTTTTGTAGAGTAAATAAAAGTAGAAGCACTGTTGACCCGTTTCGAAATTTCCGGAGATATGTCAGACGGCTTCTGCGCACATTCACGAGCGAACTTCAAGCGGCGAAACAGATTTAAGTGCGCGTGCACACGATAAGCGCGGCCACTTTCACGTTATTTTTTACGGGATCGTGTACCGCTGCTCCTATTAGGCCACGTCAAAATTCGTTCCGTCGGAATTAGGGCAACTTCTAGTCTTTCTGGATGATCAGGTTGGCGTGAGAGAAAATGTGAAAAAGGATGCACTTTGACTGGTTACGTCGGTGCATTGAGACCGTCTGACAGGACAGATAGCACTCGGCTCGAGTACTATTTTTATTTCAGTTGTTAACCTCGATCGACACGTTTTACGAAATGTCATTCGAAGGAAAATACAACGCGAAAAGTCCCGGTAAGTAAACGAAGGAAACGAATTCCGTTCGTTGATTCGTCGTTAGGTTTCCTAACGAATGGTGCACATCTAATTTGTCACTGTTCATCCAAACATTGTTATCTTTACGAATTAGCTTCACGTTATCTCGTGATACGTGTCACTAAACTTTCTCTTTGAGTACGTCGTGTTTTATAAACTTTACTTCATGTTGGAACAACACTGTATCAGTTTGAGAAATGCACTTGTTTGTGAATTTATTGTTACGTACATATTTCATGTAGAGCAGTTTTTCTAATGTACACATACTTATATATTGGACTTATAAAAGATATATTCTTCATTGCTTAAGCATTACGTGTAACAATATACATAAATTATGTAAATAAATAGTGTTATTCAATGTGTAATCATTATGCAATTACATCATTAGGTTTAACATCGTGTTAATTATTGGTAATAATGCACTGTGTAAAAAAAAATTACAGCGGTCAAAAGGTTAATGAGAGAAGCTCAAGAGCTCCACGAAGCTACAGGGGAATATTGCGCTGCTCCTTTAGAAGACAATCTTTTTGAATGGCATTTTACTGTACAAGGACCACCATCCACAGATTTTGAAGGTGGCGTTTATCATGGCAGAATTTTATTACCTCCTGAGTATCCTATGAAACCTCCAAATATTATATTGCTAACAGTGAGCAACTTTTTCATTTCAAATATATTTTCTATCTTTAAAGTGAAACATATAACAGGTATATCGTTTTGTTAGCCAAATGGCCGCTTTGAAACCAACAAAAAGATCTGCCTCAGTATATCTGGACATCATCCGGAAACATGGCAACCTTCCTGGAGTATTAGAACAGCTCTGTTGGCTTTGATTGCTTTTATGCCGACACCAGGAAATGCAACAATTGGTTCTTTGGATTATAATAGGGAAGAAAGGCAAAAACTTGCAAAAAAGTAATTAATACAAATTGTTAAGTTTGATTTTGTACGTGGAATCAAGTATTCATAAATATTTTTTGTCACAGATCTTTAAGTTGGCAATGTGATACCTGTGGAAAAGTGGTTGACTTGTTATCTAAAAGTTCGGTCAAGAAACCCATCACAGAGGAAGAACAGACTATGTTAGATACAATTGCTTTGAAGGTATGTTTTTAATGCTTTATATTATATAAATATCTGTAACTAATTTCAGTTAAAAAAAAATTTTTTTAGGCTGATGAGTCACCTTCGTCAGATACGTCTTTCACGGCCAATACAGATAGTATTTTAGAAAACGAACTGAGGCAACGTAACGTCGAAACAACTTCTACGGAGAACCCAGATCGACAGGAACCAGATGTTATAATGAATCAACAAGTAGAAACAATGTCATCTTCTAATGATTTGTTTTGGAGCATTCTAATTGCTTCTCTAGTGTCAGCGATTATTCTACTTGTTTTGCGACGACTATTTCTCGTTTAAATTATTCTGAATGTAACAAAAGTTATAATATTGTAAGTATGTTAACAAGACAAAGTAAATTTTATACACATTTTATGAACAACATTTTTAAAACTTAAAAAAAATAGTGTGAGATTTATATACCGTAGAAACATCTGAGTTCCATGGAGACACAATGTATAATTACACCGGTATATCCACTTTAGAACATATCTACCTTTCTCTTACACTGAACTGTCCACTTTATTAAAAACATCACACATTTCTGTTGAATCTGCAAGGAACGAGAATTCGATATAAATCAGTCTGTATTGATGTGTTATTTTTTATTGGCTGTATTTACTAGTCTTTTAAATTCTTTTTTATTTCGTTAATATAGTGAATCCCAAATTGTATAGTTTAAAGAAAATCTAATTTGTAATTTTGAACTTATGAATTGCATTTATCATATATACATATATATTTCAATGTTAGCTAATAATTTTTACGTATAAATCATTTTAATAGCGTATAAATTAACACAAACATATTATTTTCATAGCTATTAGGCTGTGTTCATAATAAGTTCGCCAAGTATTATTTCACTGAATCTATACTACAATAAAATTAATATCCAGAAATATATTTTAATTCTAATATTGTTACAGTCTCAAATTACAGCTGTGTATCTTTCTCTTATCGTTATGCAAATGTAGATAAATTATATGTTAGAAATGTATATAACTTATATAACTTTAGCATAAATTAAATGAAATATTCATTGTGTTGTATTTCAAAATACTGTGCAGATAAAATGCAAACAAAATACACCAGCTTAAAAAGTATCTATACTGCAGTAAAAATATAATACCAATATCTCTATTGAACTGCTTTAACACCTGTTAATAATTTGATAATTAGTTCGTTAATAATCGAACTAATATCAGAACACACTCATTATACACAAATTATTTAAATTTTAAATAATTTAATTTACAATGTACTAACAGAACATATACACATATGTTTAACCGAAAGTTATTTGATAAAATTTGAATTTATACAACAATTTTAAGTATTAATATACAAAAATTGTCATATAAAAATGAAAACAAAATGTTATCATTGTTCTGGGACCACGTGGGATATAATTTCAATTACATATACAATAGTAAACTTAAAAGTGATTAAAAATACGAAGACATTTTAGGCACAAAGTATAACTTTTTTTTTTTATTTGTTTTTGCATGTACATAGAAATATATATAATAAATTGTTTCCGATTTGTTAAACAATAAATAAAGCTCACATAATTTATTGCAATTAACACCATGGTTGTATACAAAATCATACGTCAATAAATGAAAATATCGGTATAATGATAATTATATCTAATGTGTAAGCGATGAATGATGCACAGTATATGATTTTTTATGTATCGCAAATCCGCAGAGAAGAGTAAACGACTGTGCATAAAATGTAAACAGTATTATTTTGGATTATTAATGCTAGGCGCATAAAGATATTTTTAAAGCCAACAATGATAAATTTTGTTTACAACTTCAAAACCGATACAATGTTAATTCTTATACACATAAAATATATATACATACAATACCATCAAATATTCTGAGTCAGTAAATGTAAAACAATCTTATAATTAATATAAAATAGCCGGACAATCAATTAACACTTCATGTATAAGTGTAACTTGTAAAATAATCATTTCAATACAAAAGTAATAGACATGAATAGATTTAATACTGAAAACATTTTTGGTCCCTATTATTTTAGAGTACTTAAAATTGAAAAAGAATACTTTCGTTACAAACATTTACTAATTAATAAAAAAAAAAAAACAATTTAAATTTATTACAATTTCTAATATTTGTAACATCTAATTTTTTTAAGATTCCTTGATCAAAAAATGAAATAGGTAAACGAATGGTTATTCAATAAAGAAAAGCATTTGGAAATGAAGTTTGATGAATTTCTCAGTACTATTTGTAATATTAGAATCGTCAAAATACCAACTTTACCCAACTGTTGTATAAACAACATATTTTACCCTTTCATTTTTGATATAGAAACAGACTATAAGCGTTTCATACTTGAAGCATATAAAATTTGCTCATCTTTATGCTAAACAGTATACGTAAACTTAATTTAACTGTATACTGGACTTGTGTCATGCTTAAGAATAATAATTAAAATATGAATGCTGAGACACATAAGCGTTGCACAACTTAATATTCCTGTGCGTTCATTATATAACTTCACATAAATTTTCACAGATTTCATTCTTCAATGTACTTTAAAACTTTGACCCCATTTTAGCTGATCTAGATAAATTATAATGAGAAACAAAAGTTTATCAAGCACACAAATATTCATGGCACTGCATCATTAACATACTGCATCATTATTATTTATTTTATTATCTTTAACGTTAACTCTATCTGTACTATTGCTGCATACATTTTGATTTGCTTTCCATAATTGCAAATTATTGGTAAACTAATGATCTTAAATTTAATTATGCAATTATAATACAACACAGCTGCAAATACAATAATGTAATCGAACTTTTAAGTAGCATTTAACTAGTTACGAATTATATATATATTTTTTTTGTATCTATTGTAAGGCAGCTACCTCGGTTTCAAATTTATTCACCTCAATAGTAGACAGTCTATCTAAAAGTATTACCTAATTACTTCGTAATACTTCAACTTTAGTAGAAACATTTTGTACACTCAAATATATATATCAACATTAATATTACACCAGCACCACCTTGTCTTTTTTCTTTAATTATAATCTTGGTGAAGATTCGTAAAATTTGATCGTGACTAGACTTACGTAAGACTATGTCATAGTCTTTCTCGTATAAAATACAATTAATTTAGGAGACTAAGCCCTAAAAGAAACGTTTTCCGAAAAAAGCTGTTTTTTAATTCCACTCGCAAAAAATATATTGCATTGATAGCACCTGATACACTTTAATCTTATAATCTCTGTTCTCGTTTTCCTTCTTTTCCTATCTATGTTAAAAGTATCGAATAGTAAATTTTACAAACGTAAAAATCCGTATTGTTGCATGAATGATATGCATTGTTTAACCATTTGAAGCACAGTTGGCCGTTTATATAAAATTTCTTTTACGATACTTGAATAGGGTATCTATTTTGTATGAAAAAATAAAAGGAAACGTCAAAAAACTTTGGTATCACTTAAGTATGCTTCAAAAGGTTAAAGTAATATGTTACACATATTTCTAATGACAGCATCTGTACAAAATAACATGAGATCAATTGATTACAATAAATTATTTATAGATGTTGAGGGGTTGAAAGAAATAACCAATTTTTAAATAGAATATAAAAATTATTAATAGGAAGAAAGTTATTGTCCTATGAAAGTTGAATGCAATGAGAATGAAAATACCGATGGTGTTAATTTATTTAAAAAAGAAAGAACAATTGTGGGAATAGGAAATTCATTGAAAGGTTCTGAAAGAAACCTTTTGCAATTGGGAAACAAACGCATGTTCTTTCATTGACCTATGTAAAATTTATATACATATGTAATATATAAAAAATTCTTCATTTCAAATGTTGGCATTTTCCTTGTTTTTGTAATATCTTGGTGAAAGGTATTTTCAAGCATACACCTTTCCATTAAAATTCTGTGTTAATTATCTTATCTTATGCACATATGTATATATACCTTGAAACAATACAAATATATCTTCGTATTGTTTCAATGATACAAATATTGAACAGTATAATCTTTTTTTGTTTCCTAAAAGTATTTCATGTACATTAATTCCGTTGTGTACTCCTTTTTAGTAATACAAAAATACAAATAATCCTGTTAAATTATAAATGCATTATTTATCAACTATTATTAGTCCATTCACCTGTTTCTTTCAATGCTCTATCTGTCAACCTCTCTATTTCAGTTAAAAGCTGTTCAGTCTCTAAATCAACACATACCATATCCGCTTCAACAGGATCCCATTCTAAACTATTTGGTGTAGAAACTCTCGACCAAGGAGATGCTGTCAAACTAGAGGGTTGACTATTATTAACCGATGTCTGCGTTATAGAACCGTCGGTGCTCTCGACTTTTTCATCGTCCATGACTGGTAGAGGCATTCCTAAGAATATATTTTTATGTTTCACTGGTTATGTACAGATCTGTATGTTCAAAACTTATTAATAAAAATTATTTACCCTCGTGTTCCCATTCTAAATCTAATGAGGATCCTGGAGTGGAAGAGATGCAAGCTTGTTGTTTCATTAATGTTCTTGCATCAAGAATTTGGAGCGGAGTGTCCAATCCAGAACTATCAAATTTGTAATCATATTTTGATTAGCGATATACATTAGATAATCATAAAAATAATATCCTAAGTACAAACCTAGTAGAAGCATCATTTCTAGAACTCAATCTAGCATATTTATTAGTACCCTTCGACCATCCACCATCTTCTAACAACTCCAATGTTACAGGAACTCCATGTTTTTTCTGCAAGTACATTACAAAATTAAATAAATACCTTTTTATAATAGGAGTGCAACATCTGATTTTAATTATTACATTAAAATTACTAATAATTTCATCTCAACAATGGACTTACTATTTCAAATAAAATGTAGAAAACCTAATATTCTAATCCAATTACCTTGAATCGGTTTAAGGAGAGAAACGATAACAGGCTATCCAGGAAGCGTAACAATGAAACACATAATTAATACAAAAAAAAAACAAAATACTGCTATAAAACTCTATATAATATCTTACGTTTTTGATCCTCTAGATTGGTCTGCATCTCCTTTGTCATCCATGAACTAAAAAAAATCAATACTTACAAACAAATAAAAAAGTTACACATACATCTAGGTATTTATACTCATTATCCAAGTTACAAGTCACAAGTAAAACTGTCCATACGTACCTCAACTTGTTCGTCTCCTTGGAAAGACATACTGGTGTGCCTTTGATAAAACCTTAAATTAAAATGTGTTCATTAAGCAATGAAAAATATATGTAACTTCATAAGGAAGGTATGAACATCCATCCAAAGATATATTTGTCAAAATATTCTTATTACACTGAAATAAAAAGGCATGTATCTAACCTGTATGACAAAGAATCTGTAACTTTGGAAATGCAGCGGCCGAAACAGGCCCCCATGACCTGTTAACACACGGCGTATCGCCGTCATCTAACTGACATATAAGGGTTCAGATTCCAATATTTAATTCCACGTAACAGATAAATTAGAAGGGAATAGGAGTTAACACTTCATACAAAGTTGTAGAAATATCAGATGTGACTCATCTTATTCAAATCCGATCTATCCCGCTCCTGAATGTCTGTCAGCTGCATACTTGAATACACTCCTACTTGCTGCAGTTTTATTTCATACGCTTGCGTCAAAAAACAAGCTCGCCAACATTTAAAACGTAGGCAATGACATTCTCGGTGGCGCTGTGCATTCACAATGCAAGGAAGTGCAGCCAACATACGATCGCAAGTTGTGTAACTGCAGAATGTTTCTAGGAACTCGCTGTGTTATTTTACTCTAGATATACAGGTTTTCTTGATCCTCTGAATCTCTTTAGAGTCTTTCTAGACCTTACATAATCTTTTCTGTATATTTTTCCTAAAACCCTTTTGAGATTTTTCTCTTGGTTTTCCTAGGACTATCAAGTTCAGTAATTGGTACACTGCAGTGTAAATCTGCATTTATCCCTAAACCAAATCAAAAAGTCAAGGGTGCGTATGTGTATAGTGTAGAAGTATGGCGGTCGAGAATAAATAGTTTAAACCTGCACATTCATTAGTAAAATTGTAATTATTTTTTAACCGACTTCGAAAAAGGAGGAGGTTACTCAATTCGATCAGTATATATTTTTTTTTTTTTTTTTTTTTGTCATATCTCTGTAACATTCATCTGTAATTTCTTGTGCAATATAGTTTATCATTTTCTTATAAGATTTGTAAATTTTCTAGATTTGGATAAGCGTAGAACTTGTAATGCTTACTTGATCCAAACATTTCCGTAAAAGAAAATGTGGAACAAAATTATAATTTAATTCGTAGCTATTAGCTCGATATCGTTTTCTAAACTTTCTATAAAAATGTTTAGAAAACGATATCGATTACCAGGTCACACCACGTGGAGGTTGCTACGATAGTGACCCACCCTAACTCCAAATCCCAACCACCCTCCAATTGCAACTTCATTTATCAGAAGGATAAATGAGTTCTGACTCTACTTAGCTCATAGGCTCGCATACAAGTTCTTTACCACGAAATTGCAAAGAACTTGTATCACACACACATACATTAACTTAATACTAATCCCATGGGATTCCACACACATACGCTTTACTTATTCTAAACGCACGCGTACCTCTTATTCTAAGATTGCACTCAAATGATCTATGACGACGTAAAAAGAGCAAGGGGAAGAAAAGAAAGTTAGAAGAACTTTCTACTAAAGACAAAGAAAGTTAGAAGAACTTTCTACAAAAGAGAAAAGAAAGTTAGAAGAACTTTCTGTTAAAAAAGGGGGATCAGTATTTTTCGTCAAGTGAACCTCGCCTTCCATGGGTCAAAGGGTAGTCCATAGTGGCTTACGTGAACCACGAGACAGAGATGAACCGAAAATACTGGCAAGAACGAGTGACACATCCGCGGAGGGTCTCCCATTTCTCCCCGCTTGCGTTTGAAGCAAGTCTGACCGCAGAGAGGAGACCCCTGCCGTGAGGCGGCAGATCGAGATGGTTCATCAATCGATCGGCCCCGCAGAGATGTGTCCCT